GCACACCAAGAGCTGTGGGGTCGTGTTTGTGGGTGGGGGTGTATCTGCAATGGGGCGAGTGCTGGCCAGGGAGGGGCTGGGGGGGTTGAGCTGTAGAGCTCAGACGGCTGATGGTGGGAGGCAGAGAGAAGTTACTTGTCTTTCTGGAGAAAACACTTGGAGCGATGAGTGCCGTGACCATGTATGTCAATGCTCCCTGGAAAGATGCTAATGATGCAAAACACAGAGGGCTACAGATAAACTTGGGCTGTGGGAGATGATTTTTTTTTTTTCTCCGTACTTGAAGTTTTGCAGTAAAATGACATAATTGACGATGTTTATTCCTATGGCAGCGTGCTCAGCAGCCTCGCTCTGAACGTACCTTCTAACAATATTTGAGTTTTTCCCCCAGTTTTTTTCCACATTGGCCAGGGTGGAGGGTGTGGGCAGCCATGGTGTGAGGCCATGGCAGGGGCTGGCTGCCCCCTCTCCTTGGCCAGCTGCGGCACAGGGGCACATCCCCCAGCTGGAGCGGGCTGTGAATGCCCTTTTGGGAGGTGGGGGGCAGCCAGTGGGGCCGAGGCCATGCCAAAGGGGGCAGAGGGAGTGGGGATCACCCCAGTGCGGGGCAGGTGCCCAGTGGCCTCGTCAGCTGGGAGGAGGGTGGGCGCAGGCGTCCCGCAGCCTCAATTCCCCTCTTGTCCCCGCGGTGGGGCCAGCTCCGGTGAGAAGCCGCAGTGTCGGACAGCCAGGTGCTGGGTAAATACCACGGCGGGCGCCTTCGTGCCTCCCTCACCCGGTGGGATGGGCGGACGCAAGAACGCGCTGGGTAAACAGTGATGGAGTGGGGCTGCCCCCCTCCCCTGGGGGGGCTGCTGGGGCAGAGGGGCAGCACCCCACTGCTGCCAGAGGGGCCAGGCTGAGGGCTGCCCCAGTCCCGGTGCTGCTGCGGGGGTCCCAGCTGGTGCAGGTGGGTGTCCCCAGGGACCCTTTTGGGAGGGGGCAGGAGGTTGTGGGGTGGGAGGTCTGGCAGCAAGGCAGGGCTGGCTGGAAGCTGCAGACAGGGATTCCAGGTGGTGCAGAGGTGGGGTGCCTGGGGATGGAGGCAGGGATCCTGGCCCAGGATCTGTGCCCCCCACTGTGCTCAGTGCCAGGGTCCCCACACATACCTCCAATTCCCAGCCTGTGGATCTGTCCCCCAGGGGTGACAGAAGGAGAAACCTCTCTGGCAAACACCCTCAGAGCCATCTGTGGGGCTCCCCTGTCCCTCCCACCCTCCCAGGGATGCCGAGTCTCCAGCGATGCCTGCGACCACTGGGAACCTCATCCCTCAGCTTGGCCAGGCTGCCCAGCCTTGGGCTCTGGGCAGAGCGCCTGGAGCAGGGCTAGAGCCGGAGCCCAGAGTGACCCCGCTCCCTCGGGCCACCCCACTCAGGGGGCAGGACCGGGAGCCTCCTCCCATCCTTCCTGGGGTCCCTGAGGGAGCCCCAAGGGGCAGTTGCCCACAGACCACAGGGAGACGGACACAGGCTTCTCTGAGGCAGCATAATTTACTGCGGCGTGGATGGGCAAGGGGTGCCTGGGCTGGGTCTTGGCAGGGGGGGGTGTGGGGGATGCAGCAGGGCTGGTCTGAGGGGCTTGGAGGTGGACACCCCTCGCCTCACTGAGCCATGTGGCATGGGAAGGGTGGGGGAGCCCAGGCAGGGGCTGTGCTGCTCTGGGCACTTGGTCTTGAGGGGGCCAGTCTCTGGGGACAGCGGGTCGGGAGGCACCTGCTTTGGTTGGGGTGGGTCCCTGCGAAGGTGGGATAATCCAGGGCTGGGGTGTGAGCTCAAGGTAAAGGTATGGGATGCTTTGGGGGGCTGGAGTAGGGATTTGGGGGGGGAAGGGCTGAGAGTCTGGGGCATGTCATCAGGGAGCTGGGCAGGGGACACAGGGGTGCAGGGTAGGGGTTTCAGCTGCAACCAACGGGTCCCAAGGGCCAGGCAGGGATCCTAAGTGCAGGCAAGGGGCTCTGGGATGCCAAGGAGAGGGTTTGGGGGGAGCCAAGGGTCTCTGGTGCAGACCAGGGCTCACGAGCATGCAGAGCAAGGGTTCTGGGTGCAGCCTAAGCTCCTGGGTGTGGGCAGGGATCCTGGGAGCTGAACAGGGGTCCCAAGGGTTCAGAGCAGAGCTCTCAGTATGGGGCAGGGGTCCTAGCTGTGGATCAAGGCTACCACAAATGCAGCTGGGAATCCTAGGGGTGCAGAGCAGGGTCCTGGGGCACAGTCAAGGGGCAGAGCTGGGGTCCTGGGGTGCAGCCAGGGTACCAGGGGTGCAGTGTCAGGCTAGTGCAGGAGTCCCAGGGCAGGGCAGGCAGAGCCCTAGTGCTGCCCAGCCCCATAGAGCAGGGGGTGGTAGAGGGGGCAGGGGTAAGAGAACATGAACTTGACGGCGAACTTCATCTCCTTGTTGTGCTTCTGCCAGGGGTAGACAGCAAGGAGGAGCAGGCGGCCGCCCACCTTGCGGCCCATCACCAGGAAGCTGCCGCTGAGGCTGGCGAGCCGGGGGCCGGGGCAGGGCACCCGCCT